GTCGCGACGTGCCTGTGCTCCGATCAATGGACGTTGACGTAACAAGGAATGACACTGAGACACACGTGACGTCTCTAAGACGATACGACGGGAGCCAAACGGCCTTGTCACGTTCATTCACCTAGACTCTCCACAATATCGTATTCTGTCAGATTGAAGAGACTCCGACTTGACAGATTTATTTATTTTTGAGCGTGCTTTTAATGCTATACCATCAATTATATCAAGAAAAATAACTCATTACATGCCATGACAACATCAAACAATTTATCAAGACAAATTAAAGTTATGTCATTTCACATAGCTACACACATATCTTACAAAACTCTGTTATACATTTCGATAAATATATCCCAAAAACTAAGCCTACAAAATCAGGTTACAATGTTAGATCGATAATACGTTTATTTTAGGTCGCATCAACCACTTATTTGCGTTATTTGAGACCTCATTCTCAATACCTACATTTACATTACAATACACTTACAAGTATAAACACCATACAAGTTCATTACCCTTATATTACATTGTTGGTTTTAAATATGGCAATACATTAATTACAGGATGCTCCCTGTGGTTGTTATATCAAATCAATTTCAGTGATGTGCAATGTGAAGAAATATTGAAGCCTTTGACGTCCATGCATGTCCATTCCTTCACACCTCATGCTTTCAGATGATCTTATTTTGTTTTCTCTTGTTGCAGGTACAATGTACAGCGCAATCATTAGGAGGAATAGGCTATGGAATCAAACGCGAAATCTTCTTCCTCAACTTGGAAGACGGATATTTCGGCTGTCAAGTTAACGAATCTACGGACGTGCTGCAACTCTACGAACTCTCGAAACTATGCAACGGGAAACCGGACTGTTTCATGGGCTCGGACGAGCTGCGACAGGAACTGAAATGCTCAAGTAAGTGCTACTCTCACGACTCACGTGCTGGAAAATGAGGTCGTATGCACGATGGGTCATATAAGGGGCGTTTGTCGGCGATAGGAAACAACTTCTTGTGATGTCTCTTGCTGCTCTGCGTTAAGAAGTGACTGCAATTTCTGAGTGACACAATGTTACATACAAGAACAGAAACATTTGTGTCAGAACTCTTGATAAACTGCTAACGATTGATTATTTGCAGACTGGAGACAATGCACCAAGCAAATAATGTTGCTTCACGAGTCTTATGCATTTATAATTTAATTCCCCTCGTGACTAAACAAGAAAATAAAAACAAAATATTAAAAAGATAAATCTTGTTAAAACAGGAATCGTAAGTAGGAAGCTATTAGCGTTAAATCACTTCTTCATGAATTAATTGACTGGCGGAAGTCAGAAGCAATTAAATTGTGTTTGGAATATAGGAAGAACTCGGAAGAATAGTTGTAAGGGCAGCGGCTGCGCTATAAAGGGCACATTGTGCCCTTACACAATAAACTGTGTAACCTATCGAAAGTACAGCATGAAGGGGCGATAACACGGCGTGATAAGGCGAGGGCTTGAATGAGTCAAAGCTGCAACGACCTGGAGAGTTGGGTTGCGATATTGATAATATATTGTTAATTTAACGACATAAGATACCGAAGTTCAAAATTAAAACATCTATGTTAATACATAGTTAAAAAAAAGATTTAAAAAAATGTTTTAGTAGCCAGTACGTTAGTAGCCACTACATAAGCGTTCACGCGAGGCAAAATTTAATTTGACTGCTGCCATGTTTTTTAAAAATTTTTAGAAAATATGTAACTGACTAAAAGAAAAAAATACAGCATACAAAAAGAAAACAACGTTAAACCTGTACGCTCACAGTTATGTCAAGAAGTCCATCAGAACATGCTGAATTCGCCGTAGAATGGTACAGGAAGAAGGGTCTCCACGTATGCATTAACCGTCTCTCGGGTACAAAATGAGGTGAAAGGTTTTGAAAATACGACGGCATCATGGTTCTATCTCAGACGAGAAATAGTTTGCTCAATGAAACGTACTAAAGCGTTCCCTTCGTCCAAACATACGAATTGGCACCCGTTATTTCATATTTTTACTTTTCTATCAATGTTATGTAATTTTATCATACAGAAACTAAAAATCGAAAACAAATTATAGATGTTAAAGAACGTCGGCTTCAAAAAAACGATGTTTAAATCATACTTGAAAAACATCCCTTCGGTTGATGATTCTCATAAATAAATGGAATGTACAAGTGCGATTAGTAATGGAATGTCCATTTTTGAAGAACGAAATCTGGATAAATTGTTAGTTTTCTTCATTAGTTTAAAAACATTCTTGATTTCTGAGAAATGCAGTGCTATTACTGGCTCAGAATTACTTGACCGTGTTGAGTTTTGCTTGTATAAGTGATGAAAGGAATTTGCATTGTACAAATAGCTATCAGAAATATACACGAATAGGATATGTGGACACGAGTGTTAAGAAATTTAGAATTTGATAATCAAATATTAGGAACATTATATCGTTACCGATAAGAGTTTTTCTTGGAGTTTATTCGCTTTCGTGTTCATTTCTCGGGCGTTTCAAAAGCCTCGCCATCGGCGTCGCGTCCCCAGTGGCGTGTGGCGAGGGGTGAGGGAAGTCGGAAGCGGCGCGCGCGGGGGCCAAGGTCCCGAGGCGACAGGCTCGCTTCCTTCGCTGTGCTTGGCTTGCGAGGGCTGCGCGCCGTATCTGCGCACGGCGATCGCCTGCGCGCGCGCGCGCAGAGCGTCACGCGCGACCTGCGACCCAGGGGCGACGTCCGCCATCGACTCCCCCTCCGTCCCCCTCCCCCAACGTCCTTAGCACCTCCTCCCGACAGGCCACGCTCAGAGA